GTGGTGGTGGTGGTGGTCGTGAGGGTGGTTGTTTGGTGATGGTGGTGGTGCTGGTGGGAGGGTGGATAAGTGGTGCAGCGGTTAGCGCTACGCTGCACTACGAATCCGGCGACCCGAGTTCGATTCCCGCTCATGGCCAATGCCCGTGACGATTATCGGAACCGGTCCTGGGCCTCCCCTAGGTCCACTCAGCCTCAAATGAGTACCTGCTGCGATGCGTAAACATCGCCACTGGGGAGACAAAGGCGACCGGGCGTGGTGCTGGCCACCCACCCCTTCGTGTGCCACAGTTCCGCCCTTCATAGGTGCTGCTCGCTAACAGCACTTGCCCCCAACAGTCCGTTAAGGCTATACGGGGAACCTTTGCCGTCTTCATGCATACGCTCCAAATCATTCAAATTGTAATAGACGTAAGACAAATAAAAGCGAGCGTTCGTGAATAACGTTGCGGCCTCAAAAGGGTGAAACAATACAATAAGGCGACGTTTCGGGTCGTAAAACGAAGAGGTCAGTAAGGAAATCGAGTCGATGACAAGAGTTGGAGACACCACTTGTTCACACACTGGGTGCCCCGATAATAAGTAGGAAAAAATAAATAAAAGCCACGTCCTAATAACTAGTTGTTCGTAATAACGTGTTTAAATATAACAGCTCGTCATTGTGTCCGCCTGTACTTGCGCTAGCCACACCACCCATTCAGTACTCCCTCCCCACTCCTATCCCTCCCTCCCCCTAACCCTTCCCTATACCTCCCACCCTACCATTAGCACCGAACCGTCCAGCCTACAAACTCAAATCCCCTCCCAGCCCTCGTCTCACGCACGCGAACGCGAGCGACGCAGGGAGAAGACGAGAGAGAGACTCCACAGAGAGAGAGAGAGACTTTCACTGATTCTCTACACACACACACGGACTCCACAGAGAGAGAGAGAGACTTTCACTGATTCTCTACACACACACAGACTCCACAGAGAGAGAAGAAGACCTGTGCAGGCGCTAACTTCGCTTTTGGACGAGGAGTCGTGACCACAAAGACAAAGCTCCCCAGGAGAGCCTTGACAGTGCCTCTGGGGGAGAGCCAAGTGACCACCACCACGGCCACCGTGATACCACCATCAGCTGTTCAACAACAATAACCACCACCAGCAGCACCAGACTGCAGAGGACAGCTCGGAGAGAAACGTTTGGTAGCAAGGTTCGCATGTTACGTATAAAGCGTTGTGCCAACAGCAGCAGCAGCGGGCGGATACGTGTTGAGGAAGTTTGAGAGCTGGGCTCTTCACAGCTGTATCATCAGCAGCATCATCAGCAGCAGCATCAGCAGCAGTAAGATCAGCAGGAGCAGAAGACACATCAGCAGCGGCAGAAGTTAAGCCACTATCAGCAGAAACCTCATAGGCATTAGCAGAATCGCGGATTCTCACTGATCGCTGGTTGCCAAGACTTCGATGCGCCTGGGTTCGGTGTGGAACCCAGGTGTTGGTCTCTGCTGCTGCGACTTGGCACCTGGAGAGCGGGGAAGGACTTGGAGACTACTCCTCGCCTCCTGCGTGAGTATTATATGTGTACCTGTGTGTGTGTGTGTACCTGTGTGTGTACCTGTGTGTGTACTTGTGTGTATGTGTACCTATTTGTCTGTGTACCTGTGTGTGTGTACCTGTGTGTACGTGTGTGTGTGCCTGTGTGTGTGTGTGTACTTGTGTACACACACACACACAGGTACACACACACGGCACGGGCTAGAGAAGAGATGGAGTGATGTGGTACAGGAGGACGTGGAGTTGAGTGGACTTGCCGATGACTGGTACCAGCGGTGTCAAGATCGGCCTCTGTGGAGGAGGCTCGTGAAGGACGCTACTGGACAGTTGGAGGCAGTCGCCCTCCAACAACAACAGAGGGCGGAGGAGCGACGCTCACAACAACGAGCGGAGCGCCGGGTGGCTAAAACACAGCAGGTTGGCACAGTAGGGGGCACAGGTGGTGCATCAGCCAGTCATCTCAGTCAGTCGACCCGTGGCACCTGGGTCTGCCCCGTGACCTCCTGCCAGCGGGCGTTCGACACTTCACGTGGCCTCAAGGTGCACATGGCCTGGCACAAGCGTCGTGGTGACGTCACCGCCACTTAGTGGCGAATGGCGGTTTTTGTTGTACCTGTGTGTGTACGTGTGTGTGTGTGTGTACCTGTGTGTGTGTGTACTTGTGTGTATGTGTACCTCTGAAGGTCCTCGCTAACAGCACTTGCCCCAATAATCTGTGAAGGCTATACGGGGGATGTTTGTCTTTGTGTACCTTTGAATGTATATGTGCCTGTGTGTGTACATGTGTGTGTATCTGTGTGTGTACATGTGTGTATCTGTGCCTGTGTGTGTACATGTGTATGTGCCTGTGTTTATGTACCTGTGTGTATGTACCTGTGTGTGTGTACCTGCGTATGTGTACTTATGTGTATGTATACCTTTTGTGTATTCACCTGTGTGTGTACCTGTGTGTATATATTTATCTGTGGGGGGGAGGGGGGGTGGGAGCGGTGGTGCAGCGGTTAGCGCAGCGCGCTAACCGCTGCACCACCAACTCGGGCGACCCGAGTTCGATTCCCGCTCGTGGCCACCAAAGCCACTGAGGCTTATCTGGACCGGTACTGGGTTTCTCCTAGGTCGACTCAGCATCAAATGAGTACCTCGTGCGGTGTGTAAACATTAGCCATCAAGGAGGCAAAGGCGGCCGGGCGTGGTTCTGGACACTTTGTACTTTTGCAAAGTGGACTGCTCACAAATCTGGCTGTCACCTGATGAAGCTAGTTGTAATTACTGGCGAAACGTCGTACACAGATTGTAAATGTTCTGGTGCTGCTGTACTAGTGACGAATTGGCCACGTTCTGTTCACGTGACAACCCTCACTAGTTGGCTGTGTCGGGTGGTGGCGGGTTTAACGACACATTTATATATTTACGCGATCTAACCCAACAAATAAAACCCTGTATTATGAATATTTTTTCGTGTGTATGTTCGTTGCCATCATCCCGCACCTCCGATTAGCACGGTCGTCTACGTACGGTGCGAAAGAAGTTCAACACACACGAACACATACATAGGCGTTCTCCTGTACTGCAACTCTAAAAGTGATTTGCCCGAGTCGCCTTGCGCGACAGGGACTTTATTATTTGACGATGATCTGTGTTTGTGCACTGGCTTTCGATGAAATTATTAGTATGCACGCGACAACGCAGTTTATGATTTCTGTTCGACTTGTTGATCTGCTTTGCTCGGTTCGTTCGGGCTCTGGGCATTTCTGTGAACCAAATCACTGTTGCAAACGGAGACTCCCAAATCAATCGTCTCATTGGCAAGATGTCTCACGCGGTTAACACAAAGTTAACTTGAAACTCCTTCACGTCCCACTCAATCATCCCATCATCTCACTCGCCCACTCATTATCCCACTCATTCATTCATGCACTCACCCACCATCTCACTCAACCACTCATTCACATACTCACTCATTCACTCACCCACCATCTCACTCACCCACAATCTCACTCAACCACTCATTCACACACTCATTCATTCACTCATTCATTCATGCACTCACCCACCATCTCACTCAACCACTCATTCACATACTCACTCATTCACTCACCCACCATCTCACTCACCCACAATCTCACTCAACCACTCATTCATACACTCAATCACTCACTCAATCATTCATTCACTCATCCACCATCTCACTCAATCACTCATTCACACACTCACTCATTCATTCAATCATTAATTCACTCACCCACCATCTCACTCACTCACTCAATCATTAATTCACTCACCCACCATCTCACTTATTCATTCACACACTCAATTGTCACTAAATCATGCAGTCACTCACCGACCATCTTACTCACCCGCTCAATCACACACTCAATCACCCACTCAATAATCCATTCACTCACCCACCATCTCACTCAACCACTCATTCACACACTCTCTCATTCGTTCACTAACCCACCATCTCACTCACTCATTCACACACTCAATAACCCACTCAATAATTCATTCACTCACCCACCATCTCACTCAACCACTCATTCACACACTCACACACTCATTCACTCACCCACCATCTCACCAAACCACTCATTCACACACTCACTCATTGATTCACTCACCCACCATCTCACTCACTCATTCACACACTCAATCATTCACTCACCCACCATCTCACTCACCACACTCGCGCACTCATTCAATTTCTCCCTCACTCGCTCACTCGCCCACTCTTGCAAATGAGACTCGTCCTGGTCTCTTGACTGCTCACCTGGTTACACTAAAATAACTTGAACTCACTCAATCACTGATGGTCTCACTCAATCATTTACCCACTCACCCTCCCACCCACCCACCCACTGGAATTCAAACACACAAATTGCCCGACGTTATTCTACATCCTTGCTAACTCTGTTGATGTTTCTCGGTCTCTTCGTGTTCCCAAATGTTCGTCCAAGCCGAGGGGCACTTGAGAAGACTCTGACATTACCGCCTCCCTCCATCACCACCTTCACCACCACCACCTTCACCACCATCTCTACCATCACCACCACCACCACCACCTTCTCCACCACCTTCACCACCTTCTCCACCACCATCTCCACCACCACCATCTCCATCTCCACCACCACCTTCTCCACCAACACCTTCACCACCATCTCCACCACCTTCTCCACCACCATCTCCACCACCACCACCTTCTCCACCACCATCTCCACCACCACCACCTTCTCCACCACCATCTCCACCACCACCATCTCCATCGCCATCACCACTTCCACGACCACCACCACCACCACCACCTCCACCACCACCGCCATCTCCACCACCACCACCACCACCACCTTCTCTACCACCACCACCACCATCTCCACCACAACTTTCTCCACCACCACCACCTTCACCACCATCTCCACCACCACCTCCATCTCCACCACCACCTTCACCATCATCACCACCTTCACCACCACTACCATCTCCACCATCTCCACCACCTTCTCCACCACCATCTCCACCACCACCATCTCCATCACCACTTCCACGACCACCACCTCCACCACCACCGCCCTCTGGCAATGGAGGTGGGCAACTTCTATGACCTGCACGAGAGGCAACAGACCGCCAAGCTGCAGGCCGGACTTTTCGAGGGTTCGACTCCAGACCTGGGTGAAATGTATGAGCACGAGAGCTCTATCGATTTGAGTCGCTACATCAACAACAACAACAACGGCTCCGCCACTAGCAGCAGCAGCAGCGGCAGCAGCAGCAACAACACGAGCAGCAGCGCAGAGGGAGTGAGCGCCGTCACCACGGAACAACAGCTGACAGAGCGGGAACTCTTTAACGATTTATTTTACAAGGAAGGGAGAAACGCGGACCAGTACGGGACCGCCCATCACATCGGCGTTGGGCAGAGATACTCGGACAAGCAACAGCCTCTCCAGGGACATCACCACCACGGTCACCACCATCATCAGCTGCAGCACAATCATCATCAGCAGCAGCAGCATCAATTCCCGCCGCCGCCACGATTTTCAGCACTCAAGCCTGAACCTCCCGAGTTGGATGAAACTGGAGTCCAAACCCCGACAACCCAGGTTGCCGGTGTTCCGTACAACCAGATACAGCCGCTGTACTTCCATCACCATCAGCAGCAGCATCTTCACCAGCAGCACCATCAGCAGAGCGACTACAACGACGCAGCTCAGCACCTGCAAGCGCACGCTTTGGAATACGTGCACCCCCAACATCACCACCACCACCACCAGCAGCAGCAGCAGCATCATCATCAGCAGCAGCAGCAGCAGACAGCGACTGCGAGTGGACTCGGTCCGAATCACGGCAAGAGCTGTCACCAGTATCAGCATCAGCATCATCATCAGCAGCAGCAGCAGCCGGCAGCGGCGGTGGCGGCGCGGGCCAAGAGCGGCAAGAAGGCGGTGGACAAGGCGAGCGTCGAGTATCGCCTGCGACGGGAGCGCAACAACATCGCTGTGCGCAAGTCGCGCGACAAGGCGAAGCGTCGATCAGCCGAGGCGCAGCGCCGCGTGCAGGAGCTGTCGGCCGAGAACGAGCGGCTGACACTGCGCGTGGAGCAGCTGAGTCGCGAGCTGCTGGCGCTCCGCGGGATCTTCAAGCACTCCTCGGAGGCAGCAGCCGGAGGCGGTGGCACCCCCGGGCCGGTCGGAGCTGTCAGCGCGATCGCAGGCGGCGGCGGTGTCTTGCAGCAGCAGCAGCACTAGGGGCAGTGAGCGGGCGGTTGCTGGACGTCGTGGTTGGAGCGAGAGAGTGAGAGAGAGAGATGGGGATGGGAGATCGATGGGGAGCGGTGGCGGCGGTGGTGGTGGTGGTATCACGGGGAGGGGACGGGCGGTCGTGCCGCGGCACGGTGCCATCTCAGCGACCCGAATTCGACCCCGGCCGCGGCCCGCTACAGCGGCGGCGAACGTTTGAACCGGGTGTTGGGGCCTCCCGTAGGTTGACTCAGCCTCAAATGAGCTCCCGGTGCGGTGTGCAAACGTCGCCACTTGGGGAGGCAAAGGCGGCCGGGCGTTGTGCTGGCCACCCACCCCCATCGAGTGCCATGCCGGCCTTCGTAGGTGCTACTCGCGAACAGCACTTGCTACAACAACAGGCTGTTAAGGCTATACGGGGGGGGGAGGTCTTTGTCTTTGTTGTGTCAAGTCAAATCAATGGGTTTATTTGCTTAACCACGTGGCGCGTAGTACAAATCTGGTGGTAAAGTCATTCATAATATTATCAATAAGCTGAAATTATAATACCAACAATTTAGCCAGACTGAGTCGTATGACTCATTTTCAGGAGCGTCCTGCTGCTGATGATGCCACATTGAATATTTTTTCAGCAGCGTAGTCACCGCCGCATCTCGGTGATGATGGGGGTGATGATGGGGGTGCTGATAGGAGAGGTGATGGGGAAGATGTTGGTAGCAATGGAGGGGTGGGGGGCAGTGATGGGGGTGATGTTGGGGGTGATGGGGGAAGGATGGGGGGGAGGGTGATGTGGGGGCTATGGGGCGGTGACCCACGACCTCCTGGCCTCCTTACCGTTCCTCCCCCACACATCCCTCCTTGAACCCCTGAAATGTGCTACGTTTGTTGATATCTACCGGAAAAAAAAATCTCCATAGACTGAGAGGTTATTAAGATGTTTAATGGAGGACCACAATTACAAAGCAGTGCATTCTGGGACTGCTGTCTCCCCCCTCACCCAGTGCCGGACTAAGCTAGTGCAGGGCCTGTAGCATATGTCATTAAGGGGCCCTAAATTTATTAAAACACAAACTTTTAACTCGCTTTTTTCATTTGCTATAGAGCCAGATAATACGACAGATCGCTAACTTTAAACACCCAGTCGTTCGTAAAAGTTTAAGGCAGTATAGTACTACAGTAATAGAGCAAGTGCAGAATCATTGAACCGGAACTGATAGCTTGGAAGCATTTAGCGCGGGGCCCTTGCAAGTGCGGGGCTCATAGCTACTACACATGTAGCTACTACTACTACACATGTAGTAGTAGTAGCTACTACTACATGTGTAGTAGTAGCTACTACATATGTACATATGTAGTAGCTGCATATGTAGTAGCTACTACTACAAATGTAGTAACAGTTACTACTACACATGTAGTAGTAGCTACACATGTAGTAGCTACTACTACATGTGTAGTAGTAGCTACTACATATGTAGCTACTACTACATATGTACACATGTAGTAGTAGCTACTACTACACATGTAGTAGTAGCTGCTACTACATATGTAGTAGTAGCTGCTACTACATATGTAGTAGTAGCTACATATGTAGTAGCTACATATGTAGTAGCTACGTATGTAGTAGCTACTACTATATTTGTAGTAGTAGCTACTACTACATGTGTAGTAGTAGCTACTACTACATCTGTAGCTACTACATATGTAGATACTTTTGATACTACGATAATCCGGCACTGCCCTCACCCCACCTCCCTCCCCTCTTTCTTGGGAAATTTCGAAATCCGCCTCTGCGGGTTACTTTGAGGTTGTGCCGGAACAGCTCCGGCGGGTTGCTTTTTTTTTCTTTCCTTCCGGGGTCGTGTCGCGTGATGTTCGACGTTTCGCACCACGCACCGGGTGTGGGATATTGTTTCGAGAAATTCCTCGGTGTTCAGTTCATCGAGTTCACTTGCCGCAGAAGCTCCCGGCACGTGGAGCGAAACGTCGGACGTGACGCTTAATTTGGGGCTTGATGTTGTCATGCTTGGCCTAGGGTTTGGACTATCGGCGTGAAATACGACCACTAGAAGCGACACAAGCTACACATATCCTAGTATTATTATTGTATACCTATATACATCCTACAGCCCTGTGGCCAGGTTTATAAACTATGATGGATGTGGTTTTTAATACTAATAATTGTTTTAAATTCCCAGAACTGGGTATGGGACTGTTCTGGCAAAAATGTAGCTCTATGCACAACGTTGTTGGTGATGGTGGTTGATGATGATGACGATGTGGGGAGCGGTGGTGTAGCGGTTAGTTGCGCTGCACTTCGAACCCGGCGACACAAATTAGATCCCTGCTAACGGCCACCAACACCGGTGAAGAACATCGGAAATGGTCCTGGGCCTCCCCTAGCTCGACTCAGCCTTCAAACGATTAGCCGGTGCGGAGTGTAGGAAGCATCGCCACTTGGGGAGACAAAGGCGGCCGTGCGTGGTGTTGGCTAACCACCTGCTTTGCGTGCCCTGCCGGCCTTCAGAGGTGCTGCTCGCTATCGGCACTTGCCCCAACTGTCTGTTAAAGGCTATACGGGGAATCTTTGTACGTCAGTGTGAGTTTGTGTCCCCAGATCTGTCCAAATGTCTTGACACCGGGCACGAGCTTGGGGAGCTTCTTACTTTTCTGGTGCGTCTTATATTCTGGAGAATACGGTAGTTGATTCCCATCGCCTTATATTCTGGAGAATGCGGTAGTTGATTCCCATCGCCTTATATTCTGGAGAATGCGGTAGTTGATTTCCATAGTCTTATATTCTGGAGAATGCGGTAGTTGATTCCCATCGTATTATATTATGGAGATATGTGGTAATTTACTCCCATCGTATTATATCTGAACAATACGGCAATTGATTCCCATCGTATTACATTTTGGAGAATACGGTAATTGATGCGCATCGTCTTATATTATGTATATATGCGGTAATTGATTTCCATCGCATTATATTCTGGAGATATACGGTAATTTATTCCGATCATATTATATTGTAGATAATACGATCATTGATTGGCATCGTTTTATATTCTGGACAATACGGTAATTGATTTGTATCGTCTTTGAATCGCAGTTCAAACTACTTATGTTTTTTTGCACGGAAGTGGTGGATTCCCTTGATGTTTAATCTTCTACAGAGGTATTTTATTTTGATAAATGATAATACAATCATAAAATAGCCACTCGGTATTTGTAAAATGTTTGCAATTACCAGCAAAGATGACTGGTCACCGATAGACTGGAGTTAGTCGTCTGTGGCTACGTAGCCGCTACGGACATTTTAAGGCTGAGTCGACCTAGGGGATGCCCCAAATTTTGTACGATTGGTATATTGGTGGTGCCGCCTGGCAGACGAATACTACAGTTGAATACGTGAGACATATGTCAGATGTTGCTTGTTTTAGGTGCGTTTGTATTGGTTTATTGTAATCTTTTACAAGCGTGTTTCCTTGAGTTAGTAATTCGAGATTGTTTCACATTTCGTTTGAGTTTTGACTGTTTGTACATACGCAAATGATATAATGTATATATGAATACACACATGCATATCTTACACAGATATACATACTGCAGTACATAGACGCAGACGTACAACCACAATGACAAAGATCCCTTTTGTAACATTTGACAAATTGTTGGGGCAAGTGCAGATCGCGAGTCGCACCAATGAAGGCCGGAAGGGCACACGAGGTGGTGGGTGGCCAGCACCACGCCCGGCCGCCTTTGTCTTCCTAGGGCTAATGTTTAATACACATCACACAAGGCTCAAGGATCGGTCCAGACATTCGCCGCTATTATGTGGTCGTGAGCCAAAATTGAACTCGGATCGCCGGGTTCATACCACGATTGCGAAAACCGTGACACACACACGGACAAAGATCCCCCGTGTAGCCTTAGCGGACTGTTTGGGGCAAGTGCTGTTAGCGAGTAAGCAGCACCTATGAAGGCCGGAAGGGCACACGTGGGGGTGGGTGGCCTACACCACACCGGGCCGCCTCTGTCTCCCCAGCAGCGATGTTTACACACCGCACCAGGTACTCATTTGAGGCTGAGTTGACCTACTAAGGACACGTACACACACACATGCGCGTACAAAATACATCTTTCACTGTTTAACGCAAACACATTTAATATTGTAAATAACCCCCATTTGCCCCCCACGAATGCGTTGTTTTTTATATTGAGAAGGACATCATCAGCTTCTTCTTAAGTTTATTATCATTACGCTGGAAACCCGAAAGCCGGTGGTAAATGGGATTCGTGATTTCAGAAAATCCGAGTTCATTTAAACGGATTTCGAGAGGTGGGTTTTCAGTGGAAAGAGTTCGAGTATCGATTCTCGCGCAATATTTGCGTTCAGATTTTTTTTTACACGTTGCCTTATACTTGGTTCCGGTTTTTGTGTGTGTGTGTTTTCTTTTAAAGGTCCTTTGCTGCTTATTTATGTAGACCTCGGCAACCAACCGTGCCACAGGTGTATCGCTCGCCACCCGGTTAGCCGCGCCTCGGTTAGACCCCGTGATGGGGAATGATGGGGGGCGGGAGGGGGTGGGGGTGCGAATGGTGGCGCTGCGGTTAGCGATGCTTGCGCTCTGAACCTGTCAACTCCGGTTCGATTCCCCGGTCACGGCTAACATCAGTGGCTTGCGAGTGATATTAGTGCCCGTGCTTGAGTCTATTTCGGGCCTCCTCCTTTCACGAAGCCGCAGTGACCGGCGCGGTGAAGTATGGTCAAACAACCCCCCCCCCCCCCCGCGTGACCGACGCGGCGTAGAGGGGTGGGGGAGGGAGAGAGGCCTCCATCCAGCAGTGGATTGACCAAGGGGCTATATATTATTATTATTGTCCGTAATACTGTATTGTTATACTATTAAAACAACGCTGCTTTTGGCCTCTTGTAAATGTTGTTTATTTACGCAATGAATGGAACACAAACGGCTCTTCTCTCGTAGCGGCGTGCAGGGTCGACTCCAAGGAGGTCACCGTGAAGAAGAAAGGATCTCAGAGGTAGCTCTTTGACATCCACTTCCGTGGACCATTCCGAGTCGATCAGAGGTCACTTAAGGAATAGGCGGTCTCAGAGGTAGCTCTGTGATAGCTACTTCCCGCGGGCCGTCACACCGCGAGATATCGGAATGCATTCTTTGTCACGTGACGATGCGAGACCAATAGTAATAATCGTGATACCATGGGGGTGGAGGGAATTTACTGAATATTAAGGTATGCATCAGTATCGCCAAACTTAATTTGATTCAATATATATTCAAGAAGGTGATCATTTAAGCTAATGCGGATATACAATAATTATATGAATAATG